GCCACTGCACTCCAGTCTGGGCAACAGAGTGAGATTCCAACTCAAATAATAATAATAATAATAATAATAATAATAATAAAGTAAAAGAAATTTATACTTCAGAAAATAGTAAATCAAAATTTGCATACTGAAAATATACTTTATACTCTGGAAAAAATCCTGAACTAGTATTATTTTGAAACTTAAAAATTAAATTGGTATAGTTAAGACCTTCTATAAAATAAATTACTTTCGTTAATGCAATTTGTAAAACAGAAATCTGACAGCACATTTATATGTATACACACATATACAATTTATACCAAACATAATTTACCTAAGGCCATTCCTTACCTGCATCACTGGGGGAGTCACCTAAAAAAAGAAAAAAAAGAAAGCATATCAGAAAATTAACTTTTTTTTTTTTTTTTTTTTGAGTTGGAGTCTCACTCTGTCGCCCAGACTGGAGTGCAGTGGCCGCTCCCGGCTACCGCAGCCTCGACCTGCTGGGCTCCAGTGATCCTTCCACCTCAGCCTTCCAAGTAGCCGGCATTACAGGCATGCGCTACCACGTCCGGCTGATTTTTTTATTTATTGTAGAGATGAGGTCTTGCCGCCCAGGCGGGTCTCGAACCCACGGGCTCAGGCAGTCCACTCACCTCAGCCTCCCAAAGGCGTGGGATTACAGGCTGAGCCACCAAGCCCAGCAGAAAATTAACTTTTATGTAAGTAAACCTCAATATGTTACATGATCAGAACAGAATTTTTTAAAAACCATGTCATAAATAATTGCAGATGTCTGTTAGGAAAATAAGTTATTTTTTCTTATCCTCTTTTCTAATATTCCTACTGCCATTCTGCTTTATTTTTAAAGATAGAAAAGCAAAGAGCCAAAAAAACAAAACTATGGATCACAAAATGTTAGTACACAAAAATAGGAAACAGGGATATGAAAAAAGTGTATCAAAGAGATGAATTAAACAAATACAAGAGACAGAAGCTAAAAAAGCAGAAAGCCACAGAAAAACCATAACCCAATGTAGGGAAGGAAGCAACAGTATGAACCCAGCAAGTAAGACTTCCTGGCTATTTCTAAAACTTTTGAGTGGAACCAAACAACAGCCCATCTTATAGAGCTAATCAGTACTTATTTTTCCACCATCTCCTGGAAATAGAAGAAAATTTCCCACCTCAACACAGTCCTACCTCTGCACTTTCACCAAGGAAAAGCACCTTTTCTTCAAGTGCTATGTTTTGGGAACAAATGTGACACAGGCAGTCACAAATAAATGAGCAGTAGCACTGCAGGAGATGGGGTGGATTCAAAACCATAGGTGGACAATCTTTGTTTCACACTGTTAAGATGTGTGAGTGCATTTGCAGAAGAGGCAAAACTACAGGGATTCACAACACTATAAGGGGAGAGAGGTGGCTGGCCATGGCCCAATGTAGCACCTCATTTAACACAGCCCCACCCCCGCACTGTGAGAGTTTCATCTCTACGCCATGAGAAATCAGCCTAGGTTATTTTGAGGATCCACATGTGAACAGAGTAAAAGGCACTCCCTCAGGCACCTTGAGTTGGTCTATTCACAGGAAGACTGTCTGTGAGCACCACAGTTGGAGACCCACACAAATGCTATCCTAAAGAGGGCAGTTTTTGAGGGAGAAGGAGGCCAAGCATAGAGAGCAACGGGAACTGGGAGACAATATAGGACTCATTTGTAAGGATCCAGAAGCCTCCAGAAATCACATCCCAAAAAGTGACACAGCACAGAAGACAGGCCTGCCACCTGCCAAGCCTGAGGGACTGGAGGAGGCAGCGGTTAGAAGGCACCGGGAGAATATGGTTCCTGACAGTGTCACTAGAAAAGCCAGAGCGTGAAAAGCAGCACATGGCAGTTTCAGAGACCCCAGGATGGTGCTTTGGGGCAACAGTAGTGGGAAACTTGACTTAACCCTGGGACAGGTTGCCAGGGACCAAGAACAGGTGGCAGCAGACCCTCTCATCAAGGCTGTGCAGCCTGGAGGGCATGCTTAGCTGAGACCAGCACTAAGGGCCATCATATGACCCAGAGCCATGCAGCAGACCCAGGTCCCCAACTATAACCTCTAGCTCGTTCTTCAACTCATGCCACTGGGTTGCTGAGGACAGATCCCGGGTTCATACAGTACTTGGAAATGTTACTGAGAGGTGGAGCAATCAAACCATGAGGCCAATACCTGGAAAGTAAGTGAGCACAGTAATCTTTCCACTTTTCACAGATCAGGTCCCTAACCAGGGGGCACTTCCAGTGCCTGTCCCCTAGACGCAGAGGCACCCTCCACACAGCCAACTCTTTCCTTCATGAAATGTCCTTGCCCCTGTATCCACAGTGCCAGTACTCCAGATTTCTGTGCTCAAGTCTCTTTTCACAGGTGACAACATCTCCACTCAGGCTCCCAACATGGTCAGTGTGCCAACAATTCTCACATTTTCTCTCTAGTTGGGACCTCTCCTCTACACTCCAGACCTGGTCTCCCCAAGGACGTTTAAACAGCCCCAGAATCCCTCTGCTTCTCCCTGTTCATCGCTCCTAGACATTCCAAGGTCCCTCTCTCCTCTTCTCCAGATACTCTTTAAGCCTTCAGCAGATATTTTCTATTTGAATGAATTAATGAACATCAGCTCTGGCCTGGTGACACCCCAACCCCAATTAGTAGCTGCTGCCTGCACAAGCCCTGGTTCCATGAGATACCAGCATCACTGCAGGCCTGTTAGAAGTTCCAGGGTCTTAAAATACAAATGCTAAATGTATATTTTACCACCGTTTTTTTTTTTTTTTTTTTTTTTTTGCATTGGAGTCTCACTCTGTCGCCCAGACTGGAGTGCAGTGGCCACTCCCGGCCACCGCAGCCTCGACCCGCTGGGCTCCGGCGATCCTTCCGCCTCAGCCTTCCAAGTAGCCGGAATTACAGGTGCGCACTACCACACCCGGCTGATTTTTTATTTATTGTAGAGATGAGGTCTCACTAAGTTGCCCAGGCGAGTCTTGAACCCACAGGCTCAAGCAATCCACTCACCTCAGCCTTCCAAAGGTGCAGGATTACAGGCTGAGCCATCGAGCCCAGCTTGTTTTTTTAATGCCAAGAAAAATTATGCTGAAAGCAGAATCTCACTGAGGTACAATTTGACACTGAAAGAATATTACAAATAGAACAATCATAGTAGCAAAAGCATTTTGAACTGTTTAAAAGTCCTTTTTGGGCCAGGCATGGTGGCTCACGCCTATAATTCCAGCATTTGGGAGATGGAGCCAAGAGGATTGCCTGAGCCCTCGGGTTTGAGACTTCATTGCTACAATAAACCAAAAAATTAGCAGGGCGTGGTGGCGTGTGGTTCCAGCTACTTGAAAGGCTGAGGTAGAAAGAACGCCTGAGCCCAGCAGGTCAAGGCTACAGTGGCCATGAGTGTGCCACTATACTCCAGCCTAGGCAACAGACTGAGACTATGACTCAAATAAATAAATAAAGAGTCCTTTTTGAACATGAAGTCTGAGTAGCACACTGCTTGGCCAGTAGGGCTCTCCAAGTAGTGACCCTGAAACTTGTTTTGGGGATTACTCATGCCACCCCAGAGTCATGAATAATGACACTTTATGTCACTTAGTAAGCCCACTGGGAACACAGGAGTGAGTCTTAAGTTATCAAGCAATAAGCTTGTTCAATTCCAGTTTATGTAAAAAGGCAGAAGTGAGTCATTTGCCACATTCAGACACAATGGGGAACCCTTGAGCTCTGGGCTGCATCCCCTTGAAAGGCATCCAACAGTTAGTGTTATTCTGGAGTGCACAATCACCTCTCACAAGGAAAGGGGTAAAAAGGGACCATTCTTACCTTTCTGCTTCACTGCTGGGTCTGGCTCAATACTCTCACGCCACAGACTAGTTGAATTATCATCTGCAATACTAGTTGAGTTAAGATTAGCTTCGTTTGATCCTAACATAAAACAGTTTAAAATTGGTCATTAAGATTGCCCACTGAAGGGCGAATGATCAATGGCTTTGTTAACATAAAGCACACTTATCTATGTTTTCCCCACACTGCAAATTTACAAAGGACTGACCAAAGGCAGCTTCTAGAAAACATGCATCTAGAATGCTCCTCCCCCATGTGTGGTTCTAGGATTAGATGAGAGGGAAAGGATGCTCCAGAATGTAAGTGAGCCCTGGATCCACTCAGCCCTGGAGTTAAGAAGCTGTAAGTAAGTGGCTATTTCAGGAAAACAGGAGGAAAAGAAAGATATTTTTGACACAGTCCTAGACATATTGAAAATTCCCAAATACTTGTCTGCTGATTACTGATTGATATTCCAAAGTTTTGAAAATAGAAAAAATATCAACTACCTAAGAAATAAAATGGTTTCAATATTAAAAGCAAAAAAGGGGCAAGGCATGGTGGCTCACATCTATAAACCCAGAAATTAGGGAGATGAAAGATGCTTGAGCCCAGGAGTTCAAAACTAGCCTAGGGAACATAGGAAGACCACAACCCTAAAAAAAAAATTAAAAAATTAACCAGGCATGGTGGCCTACACCTGTAGTCTCAGCTACTTGGGAGGCCGAGGTGGATAGATTACCTGAGCCTAGGAGGTTGAGGCTGCGGTGAGCTGTATTTGTGCTACCGTACTCCAACCTGAACAATAGAGTGAGACGCCGATTCAAAAAAAAAAACAAACAAAAAGGCAAGGGAGGTGCTAAAGGAATATTATGGCAGAACCTAGTACTAGAAAACTAATCATCAAAGGACCCATTACTCTAAAAAGAAACCAGGGCTGGGCACAGTAGCTTATACCAGTAATTCCACACTTTGGGAGATGGAGGCTAGAGGATTACCTGAGCCCATGGGTTCAAGACCAGCCTGGGCAACTTGGCAAGACCTCATATCTACAATAAATCAAAAAATTAGTCAGGCATGATGGCACATGCCTGTAGTTCCAGCTATTTGGAAGGTTAAGGCAGAAGGATCACCTGAGCCCAACAGGTTGAGGCTGTGGTAGCGGTTACTGTGCCACTCTACTCCAGCCTGAGTGACAGAGTGAGACTCCAACTCAAAAAAGGAGAGAAAAAGAAATAAAAAACAACAATAACATTGGAAAATGTTCCTTTTCCTGAAACACTATCTTGCAATTTTGTAAAACTATTCAAAGAAATAGCTTACATCAGAATCAACCTGGCATTAACTATCAAATAACTGCTTTATTTATGTCACTGAACTACATAAAATAGATGGCATATAATTTTGTAAGGAAATTTTTTTCAATCTATATAAATAATGTTGACTCTGATTTAAATAGTTCAATATTTATGATATTTTATAGAGAACAGTCAAAGCATGAATATGAAATACTAAGTTCTTTAAAAAAATTAAAAATAAACTTGACAGTTGTAGATTATCAACTTTAGAAGAAAGTACCTGAGGCCAGGTGCAGTGGCTCATGCCTGTAATCCCAGCACTTTAGGAGGCTGAGATGGGTGGATTGCATGAGCCCAAAAGTTTGAGAACAGTCTAGGCAACATAGTGAGACCTCATCTATACAAAAAAATCAAAAATTTAGCTGGGCATGGTGGCGTGCACCTGTAGTCCCAGTTACTCAGGAGGTTGATATGGAAGGATCACTGGGACCCAGGAGGTTGAGGCTGTGGGGAGCCGTGATTGTGTCACTGCACTCCAGCCTGGGCAACAGAGAGAGATTCCAACTAAAAAAAGAAAACACTTGAATAAGTTTAAGTTGTATATTTGATTTGAAAGTGTCAAATAGTTCCTACAGTCTACAAAACCCACCATCACAATAAGTAAATTACAAAATGCATTATCTTCCTTGGTAGCTCAAGGAGATCAATAATATTCTGTATAATTTTATCTTTTCAAAGTTTCAGTGGTATTCTTAAGTAAAGCTTTACAAAACTCCAAGTACACACAAACTGAACGAACATAAAAACAGATTATACACTACTATACTGTATAATCAACTCTTAATCATAGAGGGCAGATTAAACAGACTGTCAAATAATAGCTTTAAAAATAATGTACTTATAAATATTAAAATGACTATGAATTGGAAAAAAAATCAAAGCATTATCACTGTCTGTTGTCTAGAACTACTTGCTAACCAATGAACCCTGTAAGTAAGAATGTGAGGCCTGGTTCAAGACTTCCTGACACTTTCATTTGCCAAGGGCCACACTTTGAGCAGGCTCCTCCTTACCCTTCCTGAGCCACAGTTTGCCCTATCCCATGGAGCTAACCTAAGAGTCAAATGAAGTCATGTGTTTAAAGCAAAGGGCACTGGGCCTGACCTATGAGAGACCATTCTATATTAGTTAACTATTATGGAAACTCATTAATCAGATGTACAGCCTACAATACAACAGCAAACAGTCTGTCATTATGCCAGTGTTCTGTGCAAATTTTAGCTGTACTAAGCTTCTGAATACATCGAAGTTAAATGTAATCAAATAACCAATATTTTTTAAAAATTGGGGGGGAAATGAGAATGTAGTCAGGGTTTTAGACACAATCAGGAAATAATATTGAGTTCAGCTAGACAATAATTTTGTGACTGTATAGAAGAATGTCTCTCTTTTTTAAGCTGCATGCTGAAGTATTTAAAGATAAGTGTTAGGATGTTTTTAACATTCTTTGAACTAGCTCATTAAAATATATAACTATAGATAAAGCAAATATGATAAACTGTTTACTGAATCTAGGTGAGAGGTGTATGGGTATTAATTGTACTGTTCTTTCTATGTTTATATACTTTTCATATAAAAAGTTTAAACAATAAAGCAAAAACGAGGAAAATTAAGCAAAATAAAGATATGGCTTAATGTTTCAGAAAATCTTGGAACTGTCAATTGTAAAGAGACCAAGGTGTATCATATAGCTTGCATTCTACATGGAGTGTGGGAAGAAACTGTTGATGTTTCAGAAAGGGATAAATTCCTTGTTGAACTATGTGATCCACCCAAAAAGCAAAATGATAACAATAAAACCCACAAATTATCTTATGATGACCTTAAGAGGGCAATGCTAGTCAGTCTCTAGGTGGTGGGCAGATGGCTAGCCGGCGCTGGGTCAGTCAGCACAACAATGGCCAGCTTTCCTTGAAAATACGGACTTTCTTCTTTGAAACACTATGAAGAAAGGTATTGTGAGGAATGGTTCACCCAATGGCAGTGGATCTGGAAATCATACTCAATGGAGGAAATAAAGTAAATAAAACTACTGGCAAACTCTGAGTTCCAAAATTTACAAGACGGTCAGCGCAAGACAGTAAGTACAACAGGGACCCACGGCTTGTGCAGTAGCAGAACTCCAGGGGAGTAGGGTAGGTGGGGGGCTCCTGGCCATTATCCCTAACCCCTACAACTACCACCCAAGGACAGCGTGCAAGCAGGAGACTGCTACCCACACCAGGTAGTGTCAGGCTTTATTCTATTATCTGCAGAAAGCTCAACTGAGAAACAATGTTTGCAGTTTGTGCTTCTTAATAGCTGAGCTTATATCATTTTCATGCTTTTAGATAACATCTATAAAGTGCTCAATATAGGTCTAAAGAATGAGTTCGATTTATCTTAAATCCACTGTATCATCTCAGAATGAGCTTTGTCTCACTCTGATTTGGGGTTGTCAGTTAAACTGTAGTGATCTCTAGTATGTACGGCAAGACTGTGATAAGCAGCCACTTTATGGACATCATCTCATTCATTCTCAAGGCAGGTATTTTTACACCCATTTACAATAAGGAAACTGGCTCAGAGAACCCACCCATGCAGCTTGCTCAGGTCAGAGGCAGGTAAACAGGAGAAGGGGGAAGGTCTCAAATGACAGTCTCCCCTCAAGCTTTCTGCACCACCCACTGCCCTCTCCTGAAGTACAGGACCACAGTGTGCCTGGGCAATCCCCCCATAGGAGCCTACAGAGGAAAAAAGCTCCCACAAACATACTATCACAAGATGTTGAATTATAACACGCATGCCCACAGTAAAAAGAGTTTTCATCAGTAAAAGGCCATTCTGCTCCAGTTTAGTAACTTTTTATTTGGTCATCCCACACTGATGAAGACCTAGATCAATCACCTACAGTTGCCCTACTTGGAATAAAAAAACCACAGATCACCTTTTACGCTGCACCTGCTGTATAAAGATGGAGTGGAATGCTTACAAACATACTCCCTCCTAGGAATGCGAGTTCTAAAGGGGAAAACACATGTATAGAAAGAAAGACATGCTTATCATTCTTCTAGCTAATTTCAGAAGTTTTAAAAATCAGATAAATACAAAGCAAGTTGGGCTCAGAAATAATTTTATCTTACCCTAGAGTCAAAATTTACACTATTTTTTCCTTAAATGCAACCTAAGAATTATACTATTTCTGACAAATTTAGTCTAAAGTCGCAGAAGACTGTAGTTACTGATGTTTAATCAAAGATCATCCCATCTGTACCTGCAGGATGAAGACTCATATTGCCAGCCTTAAATATAGTTGGACAAGTGACAGGACAATTTCTTCAATGTACTATAAGCAAGCACTTTAAAATTAGTTATTGTGGGCCAGGTGAGGTGGCTCAAGCCTGTAATCCCAGCACTTTGGGAGACCGAGGTAAGAGGATTGCCCGAGCCTGTGGGTTTGAGATCAGCCTGGGTAACATGGTGAGACCTCATCTCTACAATAAATCAAAAAATTAGCCAGGCATGGTAGTGCATGCCTGTAGTTCTGGCTACTTGGAAAGCTGAGGTGGAAGGATCACCTGAGCCCAATAGGTCAACGCTGGGGTGGCCGTGAGCATGCCACTGCATTCCAGCTGGGGCGACGGAGTGAGACTCCAACTCAAAACAAAACAAATAAACAAACAAAAAAATAGTTATTGTGAGCATTTTCTTAATAAAACAAAGCAGAGAAGGATGGAGTATAAAAAAAATAGTTTCTCTATGTGATCATCCACATCATTTTGTAAAATTCCAGTAGCAAGATTAAAAAAGTACTTTGGCTTAAACATAAAAATAAGATATACATAAAAGGGCATATAAAGTTAATTTAAAGCTGAGCTAATATAGTTACTATATAACAACAAATTAAAGCAAATAAAACATCAGGTCATTTTCAACCTTCAGTATATCATTAAAAAGTTTTGATGAACATGAAAGTGGTCAGAATAATAAAAAATAATTTATAACTACAATAAGATGTAAATATTTCATATTACAATGGTGGGGAATTTAAACTAAAAAATATATTTTTCTTACCTATTCCTGAAGTTGTAGTTTCCTGATCTGGTTCATTATTTAATCCAGACACTATGGAGTCTAAAATTTTAGCTGAAATATTATCCTCCTTCCTTCCTGACATAAAATAGTTAACAACAGATTAGAATAGTATGTGTTTTTGTGTTTGGTTGTTCTAGTTGGGATTTAAAGGGGGTTACATGAAGGTCATCAACAAACTGTCTTATCGATGAAAGTGTCAATTCTCAGCCTCCACATGACCACCCTCATTAGAGCTCATCACCAAGAAGCTCCTCTCTCCTTCCCTAATCCTTCCTTAGCTTACAGGACTCCCACTTTACAAATCTTCCTCCAACTTGCTGGCTTTCTGTTTCCTTTGCCTCGATCTTCCTCTCCTCCTTTTCCGACCTGAAGGCTCTGGAGCTTACCACGCCCTTCTTTGCCAACACGTGTTCCTAAAATAATTATTGCACGAAGGTCCATGGTTGTAAGCATCCCCTGTAGACCAGAACTCTCCATTTCTTGTCAGTTTCTCCAGTCTCTCTAGATCTATAGATCTACACATCCAGCTGTCTACTCAACACTTCTACTTGGTTGTTCCACAGATATCTCAAACTTGATGTGTCCAAGAATTCTTGACACTGCTGCCTGTTCCACCAACCAGTTTCTCCCAGAGCTTTCCATCTCAACAAATGGCATCACCTAGGTATTCAAACTCCTCCCAGAATGGGTCTTACCTTTGATTCCTCTACTTTCTAACAAGTGACATCCAGTAAACCCAACCTGCTCTCACCACTGGCACTCAGGTCTAAGCCATCGCCGCCTCTCATCTGGACACCACACCCAATTCCTGACTGCTCTCCAGCTTCCACTCCTGCCCCACTGCAGTTTTAAAAAAGGACCCTGGCTGGGTGCATGGCTCAAGCCTGTAATCCTAGCAATTTGGAAGACCGAGACAAGAGGATTACCTGAGCCCAGGGGTTCAAGAACAGCCTGAGCCCAGGGGTTCAAGACCAGCCTGGGCAACTTGGTAAGATCTCATCTCTACAATATATCCAAAAATTAGCCAGGCATGGTAGCATGTGCCTGTAGCTCTGGCTACGTGGAAGGCTGAAGTGGAAGGATTGCCTGAGTCCAGCAAGTTGATGCTGGGATGGCTTTGAGTATGCCACTGCACTCCAACCTGGGCGACAGAGTGAGACTCTGACTCAAAAAAAAAAAAGAGGACGCTTCTAAAACATAAGTCAAATCTTGTCTCTGTCCTGCTTCAAATCCTCCAAGGACTTCTGCTCTCACTGTGACACATGGCTGATATGGTCCAGCAGCTCTGGTACTTGCCTGTTGTCTAGCCCCTTCTCCTATTGTGCACCTCTCTCTGCCTCAGCCTTACCACTCACACAGGCAAGCTTGCCCCCAACTCGGGGGCTCTGCTAAAAGTCTCTGGACACCTGCATGTCCACCCTTACCTGCATCAGCCCTGTCCAGATGCTCCCCTTCTAAGAGGTTGTCCCACCTATGCCCCTCATCTCTGCTCTTCTTGGCTTCATTTTCCTTCAAAAGACTCATCACAAACTAGCATGCATGAATATGTCCCTGAGCTCTCTTTATTATTATAAATGTCTACAGAATAAGGAAAGGAAGGCTCGAATGAACAATTTCAACCTGTAATTGACTTAGGCTAGGAAATTCTCAGGTAAAGTTGCAGCTCTGACCAGTAGGCCTCCATGTCCTTCTGCTCCTCTCCACGTTGGCCTGAGGGCAGGGTTCTGGAGCTCAGGCCCTAGGTCAAGTAGTGCCACACCTGTGCTAACTACCCCCACAGAGTTCCACCTGTTCAGTGATCAAAGGGAAGCAAAGTATCAGACAGCAAAAGGTTTCAACTCGCAAACATTCACTCACAGCCTCCACTATGGCTTACTTAGTCTTACCGAGCTGTTTCATGGTATGTTCCTTCTTAGCTTTACTGTAGGAAGTGTTACATTCTTTTTCAGAGGAAAGACTATTTTCACTGGTTCTAGAGTCCCTTCTTCCTGACAGGAAATTACACAATGAAAATACATATTAAGCTTTATTTGTAATGCTTAATAGTTAAAAAAAAAAGAAACAAAAATTTGCTCACTAACTCAAAGTGATCAGCTCAACTGTTATGTACTACTTAAGATTAAGAAAAACTTATTCTTATGCAGAGTATTTTTTGGATTCAATAGGGATTCTAGAATGGCTTTAAGACTCTAAGTATGTATAACAAATGTGATACACTCTGTAATAAAGGCTCGTCCTCTTGAGCAGAACATAGAGGTCTCATGTCTCACACACCTCTAGGTACTGGGAATTTGCCCAAATGCCAACCCACTTAAGCGAAGCAGAATGTTCAGGCAGAGTGCCAGCTTTGCTGAGAGACCTATGGTGAGGTCAAGTGTGCAGCTAGCAGCAAGGCAGAGAATCCACTGAGTTGTTGACAACTCAGGAAAATTAAATGTCATAAAGTCTGGAAACCTCTGATAAAATGTCTTGGCTAGGCACAGTGGCTTATGACTGTAACCTCAGCACTTTTGGAGGCCAAGATAGGAGGATCATTTAAGCCTAAGAGTTTGTGGGTGCCCACAAAAAACTTTTACTTAAAAATTAGCTGACTGTGGTGGCACATGCCTATAGTCCCAGCAGCTTGTGAGGCTGAGGCAGGAGGATCACTTGAGCCCAGAAGTTCGAGGTTACAGTGGGCTATCATTGGTCGCTGCACTCCAGCCTGAACTACAGAACAAGACCCTGTCTCTTAAAAAACAACAACAACAAAAACTCTTATAAGGCAAAAAGAACCCTACAGCACAAACTAACCAGTAAATAGAGATGCAAATATCCTGAGTGATTACAAAAGAAAAGCAGATGATAAAATTGTTTAGAAAATCCAAATGAGTCAATAGAACTACTGGATTAAGATTCAACAAGATTAGATTCAAGATACAGCTACAAAATCAATAAAGCATCTACATTCCAACAATCATCATTTAAAAATAATGAGGGGGGGAAATACTACATTTTTTAGAAAACCTAAAAGCAAAACAAACTATCTGGCAATCACTGTGACTAACAAACACAACCAAGCACATGCACACATCCTCTCAGAAGAGGGGGACACTTTTACTAACTTGAAATTAGAGGTAACCAATTTTCCCAAAGTAATGAAAGCATAAATTTAGCACAAATCCAATTAAATCCTGAGAAGTTAGTTATTTTGTGGGAGATAGGATTCTTTGAATTATGAAGTAATTCTAAAATTTATCTGGAAGAATAAGCAAATAAAATGGCTTAAAATTTTTTTGAAAAGAGCAATGGCAGGAAATTTGTAGTAAAACAAAAAACAATGGAAATTAAAAAAAGAAAGAAAGAAGGAAAGGAAGGAAGGAAAGAAGGAAAGGAAGGAAGGAAGGAAGGAAGGAAGGAAGGAAGGAAGGAAGAATGAAAGAAAGAAAAAGAAAGAAAGAAAGAAAGAGAACGCAAACGGAAAAGACATCACAGTGCAGGAGAGAAAGGTACACTTAATAAGTAAGCGATCCTGGAACAGTCTATGAAATATTCTGAAACAATAAATAAATTCAGAGCCTCACCTTACACCATGAGTTAAAATAAGAGATAACTAAAAAATTAAATATAAAAATGCATGGTAAAACACAAATTTTCATCTCTCAAATCTCTGGACAAATTCCCCAAAAAAGATTAGTGGCTTCAAGTACATAAAAATGTAACACTCAGGAAAATCAGAAATCAAACCAAACAAAATTAATAGAAATGAACTAAAAAAATGTAAGAAACACTCGTGTAAAAATTGACAGTGAAACGGGCTCGGTGGCTCAGACTGTAATCCCAGCACTTGGGAGGCTGAGGTGAGTGGATTGCCTGAGCCTGCAGGTTCGAGACCTACCTGGGCAACTTGGTGAGACCTCATCTCTACAATAAATCAAAAATTAGCCGGGCGTGATAGTGTATGCCTGTAGTTCCAGCTACATGGAAGGCTGAGGCGGAAGGATCACCAGAGCCCAGCAGGTCGAGGCTGTGGTGGCCGGAAGCGGCCACTGCACTCCAGTCTGGTTGACAGAGTGAGACTCCAACTCAAAAAAAAAAAAAAATTGACAGTGATCCTTAATGCACAGGGAGTGTATGCAAATTAATAAGAATACTGTGACTCCACACGGAAGCAATAAGGAAGCAACAAATGAAAGAACAGACAAGTCAGAGAAGCCAATAAACACAAAAACACATTGAAAAAAGCAATTTTACTAGTAATTAATTTTTTCAATTCTCATCTATAAAAGTCAGCATGCCTTTAAAACACTGGAGAAGTGTGAGGTGGAGGGCAGTCAGGGGCACACTGCAGCTACAACCTCATGGCAGTCGCGCCCTCTGTGCCAGTGACTGCCCTCTGGGAACCCATCCCACAGCGATCTGCTGCGAGAGCACCAAGGTTTCTGGCACAAAGATGGTCGTGAAAGCATTACTGTGAAAGAGTGGAGCCTGCAATGTAAATTTCATTTCTAAAAGAAAAATTTCAACTACTACCTCCTTGTCACTCTTCTTTAACTTACACAATTGAGGAAAAGGATGATTTTTCAGAAATAACTACTGCTCGTTCCAAGTCACTTGTACTTCAGTTAAAAGCCTCCAGCACTAGCAACCTCCCACAGGACTTCCCTGCATTTGCCTGTCATTCTTGTTCTGTTTGCTGGTCTGTACTTTCTTTGGGAAACACCAAGCCAGGCCTGTAAGTGTCACTTTTGAGCATGACACACAATCATACTTTTGCTATTTTTTTTTTTTTTTTTGAGTTGGAGTCTCACTCTATTGCCCAGACTGGAGAGCAGCGGCCGCTCCCAGCCACCGCAGCCTTGCCTGCTGAGTTCTGGCAATCCTTCTGCCTCAGCCTTCCGAGAAGCCGGAATTACAGGCAGGCGCTACCACACCCGGCTGATTTTTTTATTGTAGAGATGAGGTCTCGCTGCCCAGGCGGGTCTCGAACCCATGGGCTCAGGCAATCCACTCACCTCAGCCTCCCAAAAGCACGGGATTACAGGCTGAGCTACCGAGCCCGGCTCTTTTGCTATTTTTTAACACATAAGCATTATCTGCCTATGTGCTCTTAATATTCAGCCTGCATCAGAATTGACTTTCACCTACCAATGTAAAGAACAGAATAAATGAAACACAGATGACTGAAAAGTATTTCTGGAAAATGAAAATTTGATTACACTTTTAGATTCTAACACAGATCTCCAGGAGAGCAGGCCTATTCTGCCCCTGCTGTTGTGAGTTTGTACACACATGTATGCAAGAGCCACAAATCTTCATTATTTCCACACAGTCATTGTTTATTCCCAGGCACAGTAGAACTGCTTTCCAGTCACAGGAATGGAATGCTTTCCTACTATATACTGTAATTAAGGCAAAAAAAAAGCACCAAAAAAACCCTACTATCCACATATCTAACTACATATATAATTAGGTTTGCAGTACCTTCCACTGAATTTTTGGATCGCCGTTTTGATGCTTTTGTTGTCAATGACCTGGATGCTCTAGTGGGAATCTCAGTCTTAAAGAAAAGAGAATGAAAAAAAATTAATTAATGTATTATATAGCAATACCATTAGCAGATTTATTTTTTAAGCTCTGTTTGAAGAAGAACAAGTATGAAACCCAACAACAGCATCCATAAAGCATGTCCATATGCTTTAAGAGAGGAACTGATGCCAACTCAATATAACTAAGCACTTAAAAGTGTGAAATAGAAGGAAGCCAAAACCACTTTTGCCCTAAATTTAGAATTCCCTCTTTTTATGCAACCCTAAAAAGGTCAGCAATCTGCTAAACACACTGTCTTATCAGATGTGCTTATGAGTACATACCAACTTCTGTTGCTATATACTTGATTATTTAAATGCATGTGTAACCAACTCTGAATATAAGAACTTACACATTGCGTTGAAACAGAACACAAATTGGAGAAAACAGTACATCCTGTCCCTTCATCCACTGGTACACCTCTCCCCTAACTGCCTCCTCCCAGCCTCTACTTCATACCTCATCCATCTCCCCTGCAGTTGCCTAAATATTTTCAAAAATGCAAATTAGATTATGAAAATTGGCTTAAACCGTTCCTTTCTTTCTTTCTTTTTTTTTTTTTGAGTCAAAGTCCCACTCTGTTATCCAGGCTGGAGTGCAGTGGCATGGTCACAGATCCCTGCAGCCTCAACCCCCTGTGCTCAAAGGATCCTTCTGTCTCAGCCTCCACAGGCATGTACCACCACACCCAGCTAATTATTTGATTTTTTTGTTGTTAAGACAAGGTCTCACTATGTTGCCCAGGCTGGTCTCAAATTTCTGGGCTCAAATAATTCTCTCACCCCGGGCTCCTAAATGCTGGGATTACAGGCATAAGCCACTGTACCTGTCCAGCTTAAACCTTTCAGTGGCCCCCTACTGCTTGGGATGAATCTAACCTCCACAGGATGGCCTACATGGAGATGACAGGCTACCACTGTACCTAGCCACAGAAAACACATTCCAGGGTCTCAAGCAGGCCAAGCAGAGCTGGAGGGGTCCCTCCAGCTGGCTCCATCTGCCTGATGACTTAATCCTCTCCCAAACTCATTTTGAGTGCCACCTCCCCTTTCCCCCAAATGATACCCTATTTCCTTTATACATCACACATCACACTTGTCCAATAAAGGCATAAGTAAACCCAGGGGTATCCCACAGAAAATGAGAATAAACATACTCCATCTATTTTACCAAGAGGAAACCATTTAAATCATTACTTTTACAACAAAATACAGATAGATCTATTATGTGTAGGCCCAAACCATGCTCTCTTCCTACGCCTCAGTGGACCAGGAGAGGACAGCATTTACTAATTCAACACAACTACAAGTTTACGTCTTTTCAAGAAGGTAAGTTTAAAGTTTACCTCTGTTTCAGCTTTGGAGTCTTTAAAAGATCCATCTGACAACTTTTTAGACATCTCCCCTGAGCTTGCTGACTATTAAAAAAAAATCAAGCTTCAGAATTATTCAAATCTGTAACATCTAAAAATACATCAAGATATTTATAAAATACTGACTAATAGCAAGATAATTCTTCCCATAACAACACCATATTGTCACTCCAGATTTGATTATGTGTTGTTATTACTACTTGGATTTCTGCTTTATTTTTATTTTATTTTATTTTTATTTTTTGAGTTGGAGTTTCACTCTGTCGCCCAGACTGGAGTGCAGTGGCCACTCCCAGCCACCGCAGCCTCGACTTGCTGGACTCCGGCGATCCTTCCGCCTCAGCCTTCTGAGTAGCTGGAATTACAGGCACGCGCTACCATGCCCGGCTAATTTTTTGATTTATTGTAGAGATGAGGTCTCGCCTGCCCAGGAAGGTCTTGAACGCGTGGGCTCAGGCAATCCACTCACCTCAGCCTCCCAAAGGCGTGGGATTACAGGCTGAGCCACTGAGCCCGGCTACCACTTGGATTTCTAAAGAGTCTTCCAAATCAGTGGCAGGAAGATCTCTTACCATTAAGGTCAGAGTGGGTGGGCAAGGACTCAAAACACTCCTGCCTCTGAGGAAACTATATGGAATACCAAATCCTATGCCAGACCCGGATTTCTAGGAAACATATCCCAGTGAAACACAGGGATCTGGAATGAGGGACAGAATGAACAATATAAACTTCCCACACCCACAAAAAATCTGCTCCTATTCGTATCCTCTGATAATAGGGTAACTTAATCTTTTTTCTTTTTCTTTTTTTTTTTAAAGATACAAGATATTCCTCTCTTGCCCAAACTAAGCACAATGGTGTATCATGGCTAACTGCAGCCTTGACCTCCTGGGCTCAAGGGATCCTCCTGTCTCAGCCTCTCATGTAGCTGGGACTATAGGCACACACCACTGTGCCCAGCTAAATTTTTTTTTGTAGAGATAGGTTCTTGCGATGTTGCCCAGGCTAATCTTGAACTCCTGGGCTCAAGTAGAATAGATTATCATCATTGAGATTTGCCTCCCGCCTCAGTCTTCCAAAGTGCTGGGATTACAGGTGTGAGACACTATGCTCAGCCTAGCTAACTTTTTAACAGAGTGATTCTTTTCAAGCAAAGCCTTCAGACTTTAAGTCAGGAAAGCACTCTCATAACATAAACTAAATGAAAACTACAAATACCATCTCATACTTTAAACCAATTCTCTAAAAGACACATCTCAACATAAGTAGAATAGATATCATCATTGAGATTTTCTTCTATGAAAACTGAAAAGCAAAGGAGGACTGTTCAATATTTCAAAAATTAAATGTCCTCATAAGTTAATTATGAATGTACCAGATTGTATCAGCAGTAATTATCCCTGACTGCAGGTTAGACACCACACACATACTACTCACAGATCCTCACCGTGCTTAGCTGCTCCTGTTAGAGAGGCAGCTAGGAGAGGGATCCAGGAACCCCAGATTGCCAGTCTAATCTAGCACCTGGGCTCTCAACTCCCTTACTGTAATGCACTCTTGACTTTTCAGTGTGTTTTCACACCTATTATTTTAACTTTGCTTCACAAAAGCCCATGAGGTAGCTTGGAAACATCTCCTCAGCCACTATTCTAGGCAGAAATGAAATGAAGAGTCAAGGGATTTGCCCAGAGGGTAAAGAGTGACTGTTGGCCAGACTCAGCGGTTCAGCCAGTAATCCCAGCACTTGAAGCAGAGGCGAGTGGATTGCCTGAGACTACGGGTTCGAGACCAGCCCGGGCAACTTGGCAAGACCTCGTCTCTACAATAAATCAAAAATTAGCCAGGCGTGGCAGCATGCGCCTGTAGTTCCAGCTTCTTGGAAGGCTGAGGTGGAAGGATTGCTGGAGCCCAGCAGGTCAACACTGGGGTGGCCATGA